ATCAGGAAAAAAACGGTGCCAACCTCTTCAATTATGCCGCCCTCACTTCGATGCTGCACGACAGAAAGAGGCGGTCACTCAAAAGCTGAAAAGAGCCAGCACCCGTCACTACCATGGCCACATCCGCAACAAGGTAACCAGACAGTGAACAGGTGTAAAGTACGTCCTTGTCGAAAGCAGAAAGGAGAATCCACGGTCGGTCGGCCGCCGGTCACGTGTTTTGCCTCACCAATGGTAGATGGTCGGCGATCATTGTTCACGGGTGCCATGGAGGAGGACAGGAAGTTACATTGGGAGCCTAAAGGTCGTACTTTGAGGGTAAACGTTCGAAACCGCGAGAAATTGTGAGCGTGTTGCAGCCGGAAGGACTGGTCGACGATAAGCGGTGTATCCGTATGATCCAAATGAACTCAATGCATTGGGCGCCCATGATAATCAAGATTGCAGAGAGTATGTGACGGCCAATGAACAAGATGATGAAACTCATAATATGTGTGCCTCAGTCGCTACCGTAGTTGTGAAAGTACGACAGAGGCACCGATGCAGTCGGGTAACGAGGTTCTCGAAACTGGGGATGAAAAAGCGTATTATATCTTGTAAAGCAGTTCACTCTACTATGAATTCGAATTGAAGGATTGACAACACAGCTACAGTAATGTGAATAAAGTATGGTGAATAGTTTTCATCATATCCTGTACTCTTGACCAGAAAGTATCGGTTTACCGGCAAGACAGATTATTGATTGGAAAGACGCTCGATACGCAATGTCAGGAAATAAGCAGATCATGGCATCCTTTACCAGGTGGATGGTTAGGGTTGGAAAGCTTCAGGATAGAAACATTGTCCGATGGGATATTGAACCCGTTTATAACATACCAGAAAGAGTCCATGATCCTTGCCCTGTATATACAAATACATATATACATGCATATAAGTCTTTGTCACATGCAGACCAAAATACCATGAGTCTTTTACCGACCAAAATGTATTATGTTGTGTTGTTTGAATTTAGCATGCTCCTGGAATTTTAATCATTCCCAAAATATGACGGTTTATGAATCAAAATGACTAGCACGGACGCTCATGTTCAAAAGAACAGTGTGAACAAACCATAAATCTACAAGTTTTGGAAATGCTTCGAGGCCAGGTCTCCCAGGCCATCTATGTTGAGGTATGCAGAAGGTCTTCTGATCACACCCATCAAAATTTAATTTATTTGGATGGTTTATTTTATGCACACACTGTCGTCCTACGCTTACGGGACCAACGTCAAGGTGAAAAGGTTTCAGAATACTTTAGTCAGTGATTCATACGGATCATAATCTTTCCCTGCGGGTTTTACCCTCGTGTCATTGCCTCGTTAACCGACCACAGTAAGATTCATGACCAACTTTCATGGCTGTCAACCACTATAACGGCTATGTCGAATATAATTACCGTACATTTTTCATTCGCATGCGGTCAGCTATTTAATCGGGACACTATGCACGACATGGACTTGAAAACAGACCTGTAAATGGCACGCATGAGTACTGTTGCTGCCAACTGTGACTAGCCCTGGCGCGTTTGTTGGATGACGAAACTTCAATAATTCCTCAGGTGGTCGTCGATGACGAATTTACCTATACCACGTATTTAAGGCATGAATGGAAAATTTAGAAGCTGGTTCGATCATCCAGTAGAAATTTCGTGCCAGTTATTAACATTATAAAATGGCGTGACCACGGTGAGTTTCGTGTGAACAAATAGATAATAAAATATTCATAAAATGATTTGGTAGATTCGTCACAGCAATTATAACCACTTGAATATGAAATTATGTTCCAGTTAAAGAGGGCAATGACCAATCTCGTGACACTTGCAGGTTGGGTGTTTTTATACTTTTCTAACTAGTCTGATAGGAATTTAGGCATCGCATGATCTTGATTACTGTAGAGCTAGCAACATGACAATATGAATTCTGAGCATTGAAAGAGCTAGAGGTTTTTGCGGACTAAATATCTGCATCAGCATCTTACAGAACAGAAGATGAAATATGGCGATACTAAGTAAGGGTATATTTTGTGTACCCGCTACCCGAGGCCGGTAATGCATACAGCGTGTTTCGATCACGAGGCAATGCTAGCCGATGTCTGATACCTTATCATAAACCGTAACAGCGGGATTAAAGGCACTGGTCTTGCAGGAGTTATTCATACGCCATCTTCCATACTCCGGCGTACGAACATACTTTAATGTTTTAGGCATAAATGGAGTACCATCTCCCGAAACTTTGTTCGTAAATAACGCGAGATGGCTCTAGCAAACAAAATGATACGAGATATGTATCTGACACTGCATGTGCTCCAATTTTACCGAGCCATGGCCTGTGTAAATGCTTCCAAGCAAACAAGGAGCATGCAGGAAATGCAATATTCGAGGAATTTAACAGTGTCTGGTCTTGAAGCAGTTATTTATATGCGTTGCTTGGAGGCAACAACATCGTCGCCGGCATTTATCCTTCAAGCGAGCAGCAGCACACAACGATGCTCACAATGTCAATGGAGTATTATATCAAGATCACTTTATCGACAGTAAGTTCCGAGGTGACTCGAGTGAATAAACGGAGGGAAAAGTCATAAAAAGTGTCCGCTTCATTACAGCAGTTGAAACTTAATTCTGCTTCTTAGTTTGAAATCATCGTCGTTAATTGTCAGCCATGACAACCTCAAGGAGAGATTGGTTGAAATCGCTTATATAAAGTTGTGCGCCCGACGGGCGGACCGACTTTCACTGATGGTTCTGCTTTCGTAGGATGCCGCGTGTCTGCAACTCACACGTGGTGGCAACACGCGGGAGGTGAGCCTCGACCGCCGCCATGTTCATCGTGCGTGACAACAGCACCGAGTGTGACGGGGATGCCGTGACGACGGGTGTGGTCGATTTCGCCGAGGGCGTCGCCTACAATGCCTCGTTGGACCCGCTGGTGTTCTTCCAGGAGAAAATATGCTCGGCGGTGGTCATCGTCATAAACATTTTTGGCATCTTCGGCTCGGTGATGATCTTCGTAGTGCTGTTCAGAAACACGTACGCGAAACACGAGGACTTCAGGATCTTGCTGTCGTCGTCGTCCATCGCAGACCTGTCCTTCAACGCGCTGTGCATCCCGGTGACGCTGCTGTCCGTCTACCAGGAACGCACCGTCACGTCGGCACTGATCGACACCTATTTGGTGATCAGTGCCTTCGCCGAGGCGTCGTCGCTGCTCAGCGACCTGCTGACCATAGTGCTCATGCTGACCAGGTACGTGTCCCTGCTGAGGCCGACCTACTGGTACTCGAAGTCGCTGAAATGGAAACGCAGGTTCTGCGTCGCTTTGGTGGCCGTGTCTTGCCTGTTGTGCTCGGTGAAGCTTCGAGACGCGTGCCAGTTGCGTAGCGACCTGGATGCGAACAACACCGCCAGCTATAACTACGCGTTCCTGAAGTTCCTGGCCACCGAACTGACCGTCTGGAGCGTGACCAGTCTTCTGGTGATGCCGGTTACGGTACTGTCCGTCATGCTGTACCTGATCATGCACACCATACTGTTGCTGCGACGACGGCTGCGCGTACAGGCGGCTCTGCATATCGACGAACCGTCCAACCGGTCGCTGACCATCACCGACAACAAGACCGAACCGGTGGTGACGAAGCGACGCGAGGTGATGGAACGCCGACTGCACGAGCACCGCAACACCACCTCGTTGATCCTCCTCGGCGGCGTTAGCATGATACTGTGTCGAGCGTTCTGCATCTTTCTGGCCGTTACCGTATTCATCTTCCACGAGCAGATTCACTCCACCGCCAGTTGCGGAGTGGTCAGTCTGGAAAGCACCCGCTCGACGGTCACACACCTTTACGTCGCCGTGATTCTGAGCACCATTTTCGAATGTATCACGCGCTCCTGCCAGTTCTACAGCTACGTGCTGTTCAACGTGACGTTCAGAACTGAATTTTGCAAGATTTACCGTTCAGCCTGTGTCGGCGAATCAGAATGAGCTTGGCCGAACGACACGACCGACAATGGCAACATGTTCAGAAAACCTATGCGAAGAGGCTGATGTCGTCGCTTTCTGTCATAATGCTATTATTTGTACATAAACTTATATCATATCAGATATATAGATGAACGATTTTAGTCTCAATTGCATCTGCTTTATGTTTCGAACCACGTGTATACCAGTTACTGTAAAATGTGGTCTGCTGGCACAGTGAGTAAGAGGTCCGCTCCCACGAGGAGTGATCTTTGTCTTTAGCATGAATTCGCATAAGTAGGCAAATTATCACATGTGGCTTCTGACCGGGAGGAGGCTCAGAACTGAAAGGTGCTCGATTCGAACTCAGTTTAAGTCACTCGTCTTTCTTCCTTCTGAAGCAGACATTGACAAATGATTTTGAACCAAAACGAAATACAGGCTGTGCATGTCGCAGAGCTGCTGTCCATTCTGCCTTGACTGATATCATGGAAATGGAGATCAGCGCTCCAACCATTAATTTCATGAAAACAAGGGTACTAGAACTGGCCT